CCAAGTATTGCAGAGGGACTCCACACATGACAGAGTCTTTAGGTGTTGGAGAAAATCAAAGTTCAGGGACAAAACTGCCATTTTTTGCCTCTGAAGAGTGAAGCCCCAGAGAACTAGGACTAATGCAGAGGCATTTCATTCCCTGGAGCCTCTGGGATAGTGTAGGGCTAAAGAAGGAGCACAGGCTGTGGGGTCAGACTGACTGGGTTTGAATCCCACTCTATTGCTTTTTAGCTGTGAAACTTTGGACAAGTTATTTAACCTCCCTGAGCAAAATTGAAGGCAAGAAGCTGTAGCTCACAAGACTAAGGTGAAAATTAAATAATGTTTGTGACATGCCTTGCATAGTGCCTAGAACATGGCAGGTGACCAGAAAACACAAATTCCTTTCCACTGCCCTTCCCCTGGTTCATCATATGCAAAATGTGAGTATATATTTATACTTCACGGGGATGCTATGAAATCAAGTGAGACAACAGATGGAAAGTGTTTCATAAACAGAGTTCTTCTAAGGAGGTATTTTACTTTTATCTATTTGCTTATCCTGTTTATCCTCCCTCTTCATTTTCAAGTCAGATTGCCATTAGTATGACACATGTTTTGGTCTCCAGATCCTGAAAATCAAGTCTCAGTTGGCTCCTGCCTCCTGTGGGGTCAAATGGTTCTTATAAGATTCCTGAAGTCATTAAAAGCTTGGGGAAAAGAAGCTCCAAGAGCTACATTGCTTTCAGAACCAATGGAAGAGCGAAACATTTCCCTGTATCATGGACAGATGACATCTAAGGGTACTCAGAGCTACTAAAAATAGCTCTCTCTGAAGCAACTTCTTAGTCTCCTTGAAGCAGCTGAGAAAAATTTAAACCTGAGAGCCTGGCTTCTTTGTAGACTTCTGCACCAAGAGGCTTCTCCCTGCATTACAAATGGGCTGGCTCTGGGAGGAGGCTCAGAGTAGCCTACACTGTCCTCTCTGACCTTGAGCCAGCTCCTCCATGGTAGAAGCTTCCCCACTGCAGTCAGGAGACCTGGTGAATGATGCAGAGGCCAACACCCCAACATATGAAACAGACCCAGGTGTGTGTATGTGCGTGTGTATTTTTTTTAACTCAAAAGGGAAACTGACCTGCCCAAGGTCACACCAAAATCAGTAGCAGAATTAGTGCTACAACCTAGATCTTCCAACTCCCAGTTTGGGGCTTCTGACACAATGCGCTAACAACTCTCTCTCCTTGGATTTTGTGAGTTTTTGTGAGAATGGTTGGGTTAGTTTGGTCATAGCTTAGAAAGTATGTTGACTTTCCAAAACATAAAAGTAAGGAAAACCAAGTTAAATGACGGCTGATTTTGTTTTAAAATTAAAACTTAACCAATAGTTTATACATGCAAGGGGCTTGTGATTCCTCCATTTTTTCAGACTCAGGCTCCTCCTGTCTGCATTCCCTTCTCTAGCCTGGTTCCTCTAGTCTAACACCTCAGCCTCCATCTGGCCAAATCCCTTAACTATAATGCAGTGGTTAAGAGCACATGTGGGCTTGGTGGCAGGATACCTGGGTTTGGATCTTTTGACTAGTTACCTAACTTCTTCAAGTTTTAGTTTTTCCATTCGGAAAATAACAACAGTACCGACTTCAAGGGTCTGCTGTGACATAAAACAAGTTAATATCCATAAAGAGCTTAAAATAGTGCCTGGAACATAGGAACCATCAATAAATACTAGCTATTTACTTCCTGTCCTTCTATTTTATCTTTCCAGCCAAACTCTAATCCTAAAAGAATCCCACAATCTATCACCAGAAGTACTGAATATTACAAGAAAACACCCCAGTGATTAAGAGCCATGACAAAGTTACGGCCTCCACCCTCAGTGGGGCTCCAATGGTACAGTTACAGGATAGTGTTATCTTTTGGTAGTTTCCTCTCCTGCTACTTCCCCTCTGCTTAAGATCCCTTCCTCTATCCTTACTCACCTGTCTCAGCAAATCAAGGTCATTAGACAAAAACTCTCCACCTTCCGCCAAGCAATTTATACTAAAAACGTCCATCTGTGACCATTCCTTTAGTCTCAGAGGAAGAGCTGCCCTCCTCCTGTGTGAGGCACCCCACCTCCACTTGCCACTCGACTCCCCAAAACAAAGAAGAGAACTGAGCTCTGGATTTCCCTACCTCAGCCTCCTTGGGAACCTGGCTCCATCTGGCACCCCTTCTCCTGCATCTCTGACCTGTCCTCTCCACTTGCTCCTTCCCATCAGTACTTATTTAATCATGCTCATATGCTAAAAATCCCTCTGTTAGTCCCGCATTCCCTTCTAGTCAATGCCCTCTTGCTCTCCTTTCCGTTGTAGCCCACCTTCTTGCAAGAATAATCTATATTTGCTAAATCTACTTTTTCAATCTCTAATTCACTGCAGTCTGGCTTCCAGCCTCATCACCTCACTGACACTGCTTCCACTAAGGTCACTGGTGGCCTCCTGACCATAAAGACAATGGATCTTCTTTACACCTGATCTAACCTGACCTTCTGCAATAATTTACCTCATTTTGTTTTAGACTGGATAGTTTGCCAAGTTAATTCACAGATCTCATAGTATTTAAATTACTTAATAATCAAAACCACAATAGCTTTTAAGATAAAACTTAAATCAAATTTGATTAAGTATTTTATCAGAGAGAATTTCTGTAGCCTTTATTGTCTCTGCCTCCTATTATAGGTATTTTGGAAATATATTTTTATTGATTAAATATAAAATAAAATATGCTGAGATGCCATTATAGATTTTTAGCTCAAATGTCACTGCTCCTCTCAAAAGGAGTCTCTTTGAGGGCAGAGACTATAGCTTCCTCAACTTTGAATCATCTACAGTGTCTTCCAGAATGCCTCGGGCATAACAGGGACAAAATAAATGTCTGTGGAATAACACATCTATAGAAACACTTTAAAGGTTAACATTACTTACTTGCATAAAAAATTCCTGTTCACTAAAAAAAAAAAAAAAGAGGGGCTGTCTGATAACTTCACAGTGTGTATGTTGTTGTTAGGTGCCATTGAGTTGGTTCTGACTCACAGTAACCCTACAGGACAGAGTAAAACTGCCCCACAGGGTTTCCAAGGAGTGGCTGTTGGATTTGAACTGCTGACCTTTTGGTTAGCAGCCGAGCTCTTAACTACTACACCACCAGGGCTCCATGGTGGGTATATGCACATATAATGTGAATTGTGATATAATTCCTGCTTTAGAGATGAAGAAATTAAGGTTCAGAAAGGTCAGGTGACTTCAAGGTTGTTCATCTAGGAAGTGACGGGAGTCAGGACCCAAATCTAGGTCTTCTGACATAGCCCATGTTCTTCTCTCCTTTAAATGTCTCATAAGAAAGGAAATGGCAGTAGAATGAGTTCTGGATTGGCACAGAAAAGAATAAGACTGAGAGATAGGAGATCTGCCAAGGGTTCTGGTCCATATGCTGTTGCTGATTCACTGGGTAATTGGGACAAAACATTGTTCCTTTCTCGATCTCCCCTACCAAGAAAAGGGTTCCCTGAACTGGAAGATCTCTAAGGCCTTTTCAAACTTTTTAATTCTATAATAATAATTACTAAACAAGAAAATAGGGGTATTATCATGACATTGGAGCCCTGGTAGCACAGTGATTAAGAGCTTGGCTGCTAACCAAAAGGCTGGCAGTTTGAATCCACCAGCCGCTCCTTGGAAACCCTATGGGGCAGTTCTACTCTGTCTTATAGGGTCACTATGAGTTGGAATTGACTCGATGGCAGTGATTTGTTTTTGTTTTTAATCATGACATTCAAGGCCTTTCCAGATCTGGTTCTTGCACATCTATAGTTCAGACATATCTACCATCCACTCACATTCCATGCTTCAACCATTCCCACTACTTCTAGGTCCCTAAAAGTGTCATGTTCTCAGATCTCCACGTCTTTGCCCATGCCTGCCTTTGTGTGCTTAAAAAAAAGTCCAACTTCTCCCCCAAATCTCTATTGCTAGCCCCTCTGAGAAGCCTCCCTTACATTCTCACCCTCAGAGAGGCAGTTATTCTCTCCTCTGTCTCCTCTCCTCTTAAATGTATTCTTTTTAAAAATTTACCACACTGTATTGCAATGAATTTGTTTATATGCCAGGCTCTCAAGTGGACTGTAAGCTCCTTCAAATAAAGATGGCATCCTTACATTTCTCCATCCCAGTGTGGAGGACATTCAACAAATAAAAAAATGTTGAACAAATGAAAAGAAACTTGCATAAAATCATCTACAACCCTGACGTAGGTGGTTACATTCTTCAGAGAGGTGAGGTGGCTTCACAACTAGTGACCTGACTAATCAGGATGCAAACACAGGACTTTCTAACTGCAGAGCCCATCCTCTTTCGCCTACCCTTGAGTGTTAAAGCATCACTGAGTGTGAAGGGATTAAGGTCAGTGGTGAGATCTCTGTACCACTGCTCCTGCCAAATTAGAACAAACCTTTGCAAGGTTTTCAAACCTATTTCAACTTCTATCCAAATAGGTTTGTACTTTTTTTATTTTTGAAAAACAAGCAGCTTACCTCAGTTTGAAAACCAGTTCTTTACCCTCTGATGGCAAGTCTCTCACCTCTTCCAAATCCACACCCAGGAAGCCTGCTAAGTGTGTGTGTGTATGCATGTGCGTGTTTCCCAATGACAGCCTTAGGGGAAACTAAGCAAAGAATAGATTTGGACAAATGTTTGAGAAAGCGGAAAAGGTTCTATGAGGAGGACACATGTCTTGGACATTCCAGCAGAGAGGTGGGCCAACCTGAAGTCTCAAGGAGTATGGAGAAGGTTTACTCCCACCCCCAGCCTGAGGATGATGTGCCCCAATTCCCAGAGGGGACTCCCAGGAGAATCAGATCTGGACAGGCTAAGCCCAGAGCAATTCAGGACAGGGCAAGGCCAGCAGGTGGGTTTGTTTCTCCAAACAGAGCCCCATCTTCATCCCACTCATCACTGCTGTTCCCACATTCTCCTTACCTGGAGCATAACTGGGGCTACTGGTGGGGTAGAGGCTGGGATTGTAAGCAGGAGCCGCTGCCGGGTAGGCTGTGGGGTAACCTACAAAGAGACAAGTGAAAGTCCCATTTAGTTGGGCATGAAGAAAAAGCAATTTCAGAGGAAAAAGAGCCTAAGTCCCAGGCTTGGTCTTCACCCTCTTCATGCGCCATTTCAGATAGTATATGCAACCAGCTTTCAGCCTCTCGGGGGAAAAGCCACCAATCCCACATTCCCAACATACGCAGATTTTCTGTCTTTTTTTAAAAAAGTAGTACAAGAAACATATGTCTGTATGCTCACTATAAAAAATTCAAACAATATACAAGTGTGTATGATAAAAAGAATTAGTTTCCTTTCACACTCTTGCCACAATAGTACTCTCCTCCCCCGAGGTAATACCATTACCAGTTTGGCATCTATCCTTCCAGATAGTTTTCTATTTCTTTTATATGTATATATTCAGTGGTGTACTGGTATGTATTTAACAACTGGCTCAAGGGGATGGGGATGGAAGGCTAGGGTTTTATGGTGCACCATAGTCTTTGTAACTCCCACCAAATGACTGGCCCACCAAAGAGACTGGACAGCTTGCTAATAGTGTAAATAAAGTACGTGACACCCTTGCGGGGTGGGACCATGCAAATAAGATGCATGGAGCCCTAACAAGGTGATTGGTCAGTTTTGCCATCCCGCTAGGCTTGAAGATAGAGAGAGAGAGAGAAAGGAGTTGTAACATGGAAGACAGCGAGAGATGGTGGTGCAGCAGTAGCAAGAAGCAATGGCAGCAGACACAGAAGAACCAGGAGACTGACAGGAGACAACACAGTGGGCTTCCTGACCCATGGAACAAGAGAGCTGAGTGTCTTTGAGCCAAGGTTTCCTGGTAGAGTAGGGTGCCCCCGGGCACTTGTTGGCAGAGCTAAAGAGTTTTGTAACACGTGCCAGAGCAGGGCAGAGGCCAGGCCAAAGGGCCGAGGGGCCGAGGGGCCAGTGGGCCAAGGGCCAGAGAGGCCTGCCTGCAAGCACGGCAGAGAAGAGGCTATTCTGACTGAATGACTATCTCCTGAGTACTTCCTGATCCTGAATTGTAACCTGTTACTTCTCTAATAACCCCATAATCATGAGTATGATCTGTGAGTTCTGTGCGGCCACTATAACAAATCATCGAACCCAGCAGAGAAGTAGACAGTGCTGTGGGAGGGACAGATGGTCTCAGAATTGGTAAAAAGTTTAGAGAGAGGAGGTATGTCTGACCCTCGCCTCATAGCAATCAGCCTTGGGCTGTTGATGCTGACAATGATTCTCTCTCCTTCCCCTTATGAAGATAGAGGAGGCAGTCAGATGCCTCCTCCACACCATTTTTACAGGTTGGTAACCCCGCTTTGTATTGTTTGCCAATTTCTGCAGTGTAAAGACTCCCACCATGACCAATTTCAAGCTACCAACATCACTGAACGAGTAGTTGGAAAGAGATGCTCAAAATCAGTTCTAGAGAACTTACATGAGCCAGCTCCAGCCCACTGCTGCATATTATATATACTTTCCATTTTAGCAATATAAACATTTTCCCATGTAATTAAGATGTCATTATTTTTTATTATCTTCATAATATTTCATCATGTAGATATCAAATGATTTAACCATTACCCTGTTTTTAAACATCTAGGTTGTCTGCAATTTTTCATCAATATAAAAGCTGTGAGAACAATCTTCTAACTAAAACTTTGGCTGCATCTCTCATTATTTCTTTAAGAAAGGGTTCTAGAAGTGATATTTCTAGATCAAAGGATAGGACTATTTTTAAAGTTCATCCATTCAGCAAATATTTGAATATCTACTATGTGTCAGACACTGTTCTAGGGACTTATATCAGTGAACAAAGCAAAGATTCCTGCCCTTGTGGAGCTTACACTTTAAGGGAGTGGGAGAAGGCAGGCAATAAATAGTAAGTATAGACAAAGTCTTAAGTGCTATGAAAAAAGAAAAAAAGGGCAGGGTAAAGAGCATCAGAAGTGCCAGAGGACTGGTGGCAGGAAGGAGGGGCACTGCGATACTAAACAGAGTGATCAAGGTAAGACACATTGAGACGTACTTTTAAAAATCAGCTTTCTATCATCAGTCAAAATACCAATGAGCACTGAAAAACTGCAGGGAGCAGTGAGACAGGCACTTACACACTGCTAGTGGAAACACAAATTGATACAGTCTTTCTAGAAAGCAGTGTGGCAAAGTATGTGAAAGTATGATTTTTGCAAAAACTTGCAGGAAATGATAGAGTTAACTAAGCAGGTAGCTGAAGAAAAGCATTTCAGACCACAGAAACAGTATAAAGGCCCTACACTGGGAGCATACAAGATACAGGGCATCTTCGGGGAAAGGCAAAGAAGCCAGTGTAGCAGGACAGGAGCAAACAAGGAGGACAGCAGTAGTAGTAGAGAAAGTCAGAGGGATAAATGGCTGGTCAGTTCATGTAGGGCCTATTTATAGGCTACTGTAAGGACTTTGACTTTTATTCTGAGTGAAATGAGAGCCATCACAAGGTTTTGAGCAGAAGAATAACCTGATTTATGTTTGAAAAAGGTCACTCTGATGGCTGTGTTGAAAAGGGGGCAAGGATAGAGAAGCATAAAGACTAATTAGGAAGCTTCTGCAAACTCCTGGTGATAGATGACAGGGCTCAGGATCAGGGCAATAGCAGGACAGGTGATGACAAGTGACATGCAGAGAGTCTTCACATATTTTGCCACACTGCTTTCTAGAAAGACTGTATCAATTCGTACTTCCAATAGCAGTGTGTAAGTGCCTGTCTTACTGCTCCCTGCAGTTTTTTAATGCTCATTGGTATTTTGACTGACAATAGAAAGCTGATTTTAAAAATCAAAGATTAAATCCCTAAATCCCTAAAAGCTTCTTTGGGATTTGTAAATGTTGGAGCTTTAATAATGTATCTTTGTTAATATGTCTTTCCCTAAGTCCTTTCCAACTCCTAAGAAACTTCATCTTTATTTACCGTCAATCATTTTCTAATTTCAGAACTGAGGTAGCCAAGTTGTTGCCACCTAATTAGTAATCCAGAGGCCACTTCTCAAAAAAAAAAAAAAAAAAAAATCAGGGGCTTCATCTGGGAAGCAATGTGATCCAGCCTCATGGCTGAAATCTGTATTCAGCCCTCACGTGAGAGACTGTGCAGACACAGATAATCACATCCCCCGGTTCTGTCTTTTCAGATGCTTTTACTTTACGGGCAGTTATAAAATCTTCCTTCACTGTTTCCAAGCAGAATTATTTTTAGTTCACCTGAATTTGATAGATTGCATAGAATGGTAGCACTAGATCTAGGACTAAATGTGCTACAGGTCACACTTGTTACTTGCGATTGAGTTGATTCCAACTCATGGCAACCCCTTGTATGCAGAGTAGAACCGATCCATAGGGTTTTCAAGGCTATGATCTTTTGGAAGCAAATCACCAGGCTTGCTTTCTGAGGTGCCTCTGGGTAGGTTTGAAACACCAACCTTTTGGCTACTAGTCAAGTGCTTACCAGTCTGCGCCACCCAGGTCCTCCTTACAGGTCACACTAGCACTTGCTATTTTGTGGCTATTCCTTGCTGGAACAATCTCCTCCCAGCACACTCCGAAGACTTTCCTGACAGGTTCTGCCCCATTCACTTGAGCAGAGTGCATTCCAGGTCCTGGTCCCCTCAAGGCTGCATGGATCTGCTAAAGCTCATCAGAGGTAAAGTATATTGAGTTGAAATTACATGCCATGTATATTTAACCCACTGTTCATACAAAAGATTATTTTTACACCTATTTCATTTGAGCCTCAAAACAACCCTAATCTTATTTCCCCCACCCATTTTGTAGGAATCCCAAAAGCAACGCCTTTTTGATACCTACCAAATAACTATGGCTTGGTCTTTGGAAATAAGTCTGCCCCTTCTGTATTTATATTCTTTGAAGGTCAAGAGCAAAGAGAATAAATGAACACAAGTGAGCATTTCTCTTTTGCATCCCAAAGGCTGTAGTCGTGATCAGGTTTCCTGGGATTCTAATGTGTACATTTTAATTGCTTTACAGATGTCAAGACAATCTAATACCCTTTTCTTGTTGTTACTAGGATTAGGGCTGAAGAAATGTAAAGCTATTTTTTGATTAATATGGAAATTAGAAATTACTTTCAGGAGAAATCAGGGGACTAATTCTGATATTACTTGATCTTTAGGAACTAAAAATTGCAGAGTATTAAAAGTTAGGGGAATCTCCTAGGAATTAAATACTTACGCTCATCAAAAGAGAACCTACAAACTGAGAAAAAATCTTTGGCAACAACATATCTGCTAAGGGTCTAATCTCTAAAATACATAGAAAACTTTAACAACTCAATAACAAGAAGACAATCCAATCAAAAAATGGGCAAAGGACATGAACAGACACTTCACCAAAGAGCATATTCAGGTGGCCAACAAATACATGAGAAGATGATCACAATCATTAGCCATTAGAGAGATGCAAATTAAAACTACAACGTGACACCATCTCACCCCTGCAAAAATGGCAATGATTAAAAAAAAAAAAAAAAAAACAGAAAACAACAAATGCTGGTGAGGTTGTGAGGCAACTAGAACTCTTATACACTGCTGGTGGGATTGTAAAATGGAACAACCACTATGGAGAACAGTACAGCGCTTCCTCAAAAAGTTAGAAATAGAAATACCTTATGATCCAGAAATCCCACTCCTAAGTATATATCCAAGAGATATAAGAGCAGTGACATGAATTAGACATACGCACACCTATGTTCACTGCAGCATAATTCACAATAGCAAAAAGATGGAAACAACTTAAGTGCTCATCAGTGGATGAATGGATAAGCAAATTGTGGTACATACATATGATGGAATACTATGTAACTATAAAGAATAATGAGGAATCTGCAAAACAACATGGATGAATCTGGAGGACACTATGCCGAGTGAAATAGGTCAATCACCAAAGGACAAATACTGTATGGTCCCACTATTATAAAAAATCAAGAATAGATACACACAGAGAAAACA